TTAGGGTTTAGGCTTTCGGGTTCGGGTTCAGAGTTTACATAGGGCTTTTAGGGCAACTGCAGGGAGGTTGACAGATGGCCAAGAAGGAATTCAAGGCGTCTTTGTGGTGTAATGGAGGACATTGGTATGTAACGAAACGAACGACCGCGACCAGCAGTCATAATGCAAAAGCGGATTCTAGCATGGAAAAGCACCCAGAATGGTAATCATCGCAAAAATTGGACCAATCGTAATGCAGTGGCACTTAAAAGGCCCTATAAATCCTTAAACCTGAACCCTGAACCTTAAACCTAAACCCTAAGCCGTAAACCCCTGAAGCCCTAAACCCGAAGCCCTAAACCCCTAAACCCTAAGCCCCAAACCCCAAACCCTGAACCCCTAAACCCCTAAACCCCCTGAAAAACTAAACCCTAAACCCCTAAAGGCGCTAAACCCCTAAAGCCCTAAAGCTCCTCAACCCGAAAGCCTCGAAGCAGGAAGCTGCCCCATACGTGGTCACCATCCAGCGCAAGGACGAGGATCTGGGCCTGGAGCTGCGGGGCTTAGGTTTAGGGTTTAGGGGTTTAGGGGCTTTGGGTTTATAGGGTCCCTAAAATCCTAAACCCCAAACTCTAGGCCTTAAATCCTAAATCCTAAACTTTCCTAAGCCCTTTAACCCTAAACTTTCCTCAGCCCTAAATCCTATAGATCCTAAACCCTACATAAACCCAAGCCCGGACTTTTTAAGTTGCCTTGCTGCTCTCAGGGATTATGGGTTATTTTTCTTCTTCTTATAAGATAACCCCAAGAAGATTCACACGAATACTAGTTAAATTTCGGTTCTAAGGGCAGCTCAGTCAGTTATCATTGTGGAGGGTCTATTGTGGATAGTATGATTTCCTTCTTCTAAACCCTAAACCCTAAACCCTAATTTCCTTACCAACCCAGGCTTTCTTTCTCTGACCGGAAGTGCCGAGTCCTGAAAGTTCGACGGCACAGTCTGATCCATGCGACTTGGTCTGTGGGAGAGTTTAGGATGTAGGGTTTATAGGGGCTGTGAGGGTTTTTAGGGGTTGTAGGGTTTAGGGTTCATAGGGGCTTAGGGTTTACGGCATTTAGGTGTTTAGGGTTTAGGGTTTAGGGGTTTTAGGGTTGAGGGGATTGGTTTATAGGGGCATAGGGTGTAGGGTTTATAGGGGCTTAAGGGTTAAGTTTAGGGTTTATAGGGGCTTAGGGTTTAGGGTCTAGGGTTGTTTTTGGATTTTGGTTTTAGGCTTTATAGGGGCATAGGGTTCAGGGGTTTTGCGGGTTTTAGGGTTTAGGGGTTTTAGGGTTTAGGGTTTAGTGGCATTAGGGGTTTTAGGGTTTAGGGTTTAGGGTTCATAGGTGCTTTGGGTTTAGGGTTTAGGGGTTTTAGGGGTTTAAGCGCTTAGGGTTCATAATGGTTTATCTAGGGTTTTCTTGGTACCTCATGTGACAAGAGACCTCACCCGTCATCATAACTTCCCCACTGTTGTGTCGACAGGTCGTGCATGGGTCTGGTATTTCCTTTAATCCAGCTGGCTATTTCTCCTTCTAGCGTTCCATGTATCTGCCTCTCAATCTGCCGCATTACCTATCCACCTGTACCTTTTAGGGTCCTTTTTATAAGGGGGCCGTACTATATTGGGGACCTAAAAAGGGACCCTAATTTTCAACACTACCCATTTGTGTATAAAACCCGTCTTTGTACCTACGTGTCTGTCTCTCTGTCGGTCTTACTCCGGCACGAGTGACCTCTGCAGCCAACTGCTGTAGCCAGTGTCAAGTTAGCATGGTTACTGTTGCTATTGTTGTTCTGATTGCTATTGTTGGCTTGAGCTTGGAACCAGGAATGGAACCAGAGCTGTGGCTCCGATTCAATGGTTTGCATCTACGACAGACTCATATCCATCAACGGTATGATGGCAACCATACGCGAGGCCGGCTTAATTTCAATGGCAGTTGCGAAGTCAAAAGACATGCCGCTGTGCATATCCTTGGGCTGGCGGTCCGGTTTTGGCTGGCAGTGTGAGGGTAGGAAGTTACAAGGAAGCCTCGGCCGCAGGCTTTTTGTTTGTACTTTGCATGCCTGTGCAGGAAAGAGAACAACTTGGACGAGCGACTGGTATCTTGGATGAGCATTAAGAGGGGCTTTCTGGTCTTGGTAGCTGCTACACTTGGCCATCTGAGGCAAAATAGTGCTAATCTTCGCCAAGTTCCGATACTTCGAGTAAACATCGGCAAGCCTCGTGATGGACGTTTGTGTTGGTCCAGATGAGAGACGCTTGACTCACCACGAGCTTCCTGGTGAATACCGGAGCTGCTGCGTCGACTAGCGCCTATGGCGCACTTTTCGTTGTCAGTTTAGAGCGGGAAGCCTGACGTTCGACACCTCTGCACCTCAAGCCAAAACTAAGCGGGTCGCCAGCAAGGATTTCCTTCATGACCTCACGCTTAGAGTGGCAGTCTATAGAATCCCCGCAACGCGAACCAGAATATAGGGGCCTCAACAATTGCCTATTTTGGGTGGTTCCCTGTTATGATTATACTATACGGGACCCCAAAACTCTATTCTAATTATTGCTAATGGACCCCAAAACCCTATTCCCAAAACATCCCAAAACCCTAGTCTAATTATTCACGCGCCTACATTTCCTTGAGCCCCCAAGCGCCCTGGGGCGACTCCGATCGGCTGCTTGTCGTCCTGCACCTTTTCCTTGGTTTACGACAGGCCCACATCTCTCTGCTTAGGGTTTAGGATTTAGGGTTTAGGGTGTTTACTAAAGTCCCAGGATTAACACAGATCTGGCATTCACTTAGATAGCCAATGCGAGAACTTTAAACTTTTTGGCCCGGTATACTAGGTCTATCCTAAAAAGTTTGAACTTTCTTGGGCCTGGTTGTTGAAGAAGAGAGTTCAAAATCTTGGATCCATGTCTTGTTTGCAACTTTGAGATGGCTAGGGTCTTTCAGCAGGGTGGCTGCGAATCTGCCAGCCCGCAGCATTGGCTCGGAGATGCTCGAAGTAGGTGACGAAGTTGATGGTAGCCGTGTTGCGTTTAGGGTTAGGGTTTAGGGTTTAGGGTTCAGGGTTTAGGGTTTAGGATGGCGTGCATGGCATGTGCGAATGGAGTGGAGAGGCCCCACATGAAAGCAATAGCGTTGCTGCGGGAGAGCGCGGACACTAGCGATTGGGAGTTGGCAGTATCTGTACTGTCTGTGTTGAGAGCCGGTGTGCAGCATGATCAGCGCAGCTTCAGCATTGCATTGAACCTTGGGGACCAAATAGCTCTTAAAAGTAAGCGCCTTTTTCCCCTTATACTATGAGTTCCTATACGGTATCTGAACCCTATACCCATTTGGGGTACATTTCGTCAACCCTAAACCCTAAACCGTAAACCCTACACCCTAAACCCTACACCCTAAACCCTAAACCCTAAACCCTAAACCGTTAAGGAAGGCTTCTGGCAGAGCACTGGCATGGGAGGCCGCCTGCTCTCTGCTTCTGTGGATGGACAGAGTCGGGATCTGTCCTGATTCTGGGCTCTGGAGTACCAAGCTTGAATACTTTTGTTTTTGTTGACCTGTTCCTTAAAGGAGCCATTATGAAATAAAAGTCTATACTTTTTTGGGGGGACCTGTTCTGAAATAAAAGTCTATACTTTTTTTCCCTGGTTGCTTCAAAGCCCAGGATTCCATCACGTACAGCACTGCAGCCATCGCAGTGGGCCAGAGATGGAAGCTTTCAGTCGGCCTGGGGGCTGACATGAAGCTGCGACGGATTCTGGGCCCTTGTTGGATACAATCTTACATTTTTGTGATAATAAAACCTAATAGGGATGAAAAATGATCATTTCTAACATAGCTCCAACAGAGACCCAGGATTCTTCAGGATGTCGTCAACTATGGAAGTGTCATCAATGCGTGTCAGCAGGCGCAAGAGTGGTCTTCGGCCCTGTCGCTTCTTGGGAATTTGGCTTTAGCTGCGATCTCAGCGAATGCGATCATCTCCGGATCGCTGATCAGCGCATGTGCCGTCTGGAAGGAGGCACTTGCAATTTTCGGTGGTATGCAAGGTCGAAGGGCGCGCTACTCGGTTGATCCGCTCGAGGTGTCCGCTGTTTCAATGTTCATGAGTCGCTTGCATCGACGCTTTCAGGTTCAGCCGAATTCTGTGATCTACAATGTGATGGCTTCCTCGTATGAGGATACGGGGCAGTGGGTATCAGCTTTGACGTTTTTGCAGCTGCTTGGGCTTTTGCCAGCCTTAGGCACTTCCTCTCCAGCCTTTTTGGATGGCATCCGTTTGTTCTCAATCTCTCACTGTGAGGGTTTAGAGTTTAGGAGCCAACTTTCTTGGCACAAGTCTTGTTCGTAGTTTTCGGGGGGTTGGGTGATGTCTGTGGGCTGAGGATTATTATGAGGGCTACTGGAAGGGTTACGATATTGGAGTTGAGGAATGCCGGCCAGTCATGGACGGCGCTGGACATCATCTCCTTCAATTCCGTCGTAAGCGCTGGTGAGAAGGCGTCAATCAAGAAGTACCTACATTATTTTTGGGGGGACCTTATGACAACTATAGTATAATGGGCCCCAAAAACCTTACCCTAAACCCTAAACCCTAAACCCTAAACCTTATACTGGTGAGAAGGCGTCATACTGGCGGCCGGCACTGGATCTCCTCGGTCGGATCCGGGCCCGTCGAATTCAACAGAGCCTGGTCTCTTTCAATGCCTCTTGCCTGCAGTGCCTATGTGCAAACCCTAAACCCTAAACCCTAAACCCTAAACCCTAAACCCTACACCCTAAACCCTAAACCCTAAGGCCCCTAAGGCCCCTAAGGCCCCTAAGCCCTAAACCTGAAGGTTCCGGAGATGTCCTAAGAGCCCTAACATCAGGGTTTAGGGTTTTAGTTTTTTAGGGTTTTAGAGTTTAGGGTTTAGGGTTTTAGGGTGTAGGGTTTAGGGTTTTATGTCCACTTCCAGCTGGAGGCCGCCATGAGCGCTTGCGAGAAGTCCGGGCAGTGGGATGCAGCCCTGGCTATGTCTCAGTCGGCGGCATTGCGGTCCATCTCCGGGGACATCGTGACGATTGGTGCCTCGCCTGAGAAGACAGTGCTTGTCGAATCATCCGTGGCAACAGCATGATCGCCTTGTTAACCAATTTCTTTTAAGTGACCATAAACAAGGACACCCCATTAGTTCCTGTAGATGCCTATTATAGGAGCTTAAATCAACTTCACAACAACTCAGTTAGCTCGAGTGCCAGGGGCTGCAATGAACGGATGTCAAGCTTCTGGAGAATGGTGTTTTGCCATGGACCTGCTGTGCCCCAGCTGTGAGTGGCAGTCCATGCAGTCTGAGCGATCGGATACTTCTGCCCTCAACCCGAAACCCCTAAAACCCCTAAACCCTAAACCTCAGGAAGCGCTCTGCTGCGTTATCTCTGCGGCTCAACAGAGTTGTCCTCAATACCGCCATTGCTGCCAGTCAGGGGCAATGGCAGCTGTCTGCAGGCCGACGTGGGCCCCCAAAATGTGCAGTAAATCCATGAAAGTTAGGCGTTTAGGGTTAGGGTTTAGGGTTTAGGGTTTAGGGTTTAGGGCTTAGGGTTTAGGGTGGTAACCTTGAAAGTAACCCTAGTCCCCAGACCCTTCTAGCAACCCTGAGCCCCAATTCAAAACCCGTAAGCCTTACACCCACAGCCGTAAGCCCCAAAACCCCCAAAAGCCTTCCGGCCATCAACCCTAGTAACCTCTGAAATCCCTGAGCCCGAACCTCAAGCCCTGTACCCTAAAGTTGAGCGTTGAGGGTTGAGGGTTTAGGGTGATAGCTTATAGGGTTTACCGTTGAGGGTTTAGGGTCCCCTAAACCCTAAACCCTAAACCCTAAACCCTAAACCCTGGGTTTAGGGTTTAGGAAGTCCAGAGGTCTGATGTGCGAGATGGCAACCGGCTTCCTCGTAGCTTGGCGCATTAAGGCTGTAATATCGGACCCGGGCTCGTAGTAAACTAAAGGGTTCCTTCAAGGGTTCCTTTAAGGGTTTCTATAAGGATTCCTTTAAGGGTTCCTTTCAGGGCTTCTAGAAGGGTACTATACGGTTTAGGGTTTAGGGTCAGTAATGATCGTCTTCAATGACCGATTTCGAACGTCAATGCGATTGTTCCTCTGAATGTTTACAAGATGATTATCAGCATTGTTAATATATCATGACTGCCTTGATTGCTGGTGCATGCTTCCGAAAGCATACTCTATAGGACTATGAGGCTAATTTTGGTCTTCTTGTCGTTTGATATCCGCACTACCGCAGCCTTGTTGTCTTTTTGATGAAGCATACTTCTCATTGCAGCGTTCACTTGATCCAGCGGCCACACTATGCAGGTGCCTGGTACGTTGACCCTGGGAGCTGCGATTGGAGCCTGCGAAGAGTGGTCTCAGTGGAGCATGGTACTCCGACTCTTCAAGGACCTCGAGATTTCCCAGAGACTCCAAAACCCCTTAATTAAGGAATATACCTTAAACTATAATAGGATCCCTAATATGATTTAAGGTATATTCCTTAATTAAGGGGTTTTGGAGTCTCTGGATTTTTGCAAACAGGGAACGCATCACACAGAAGGATCACTTACGATGGTCTTGAAAGTGCGGGTCCTGCCGTTGGAGCTGGGTTTTCGGGGACTATCATATACACATCTTGTTTCATGGGTTTAGGGTTTAGGGTTTATGGTTTAGGGTTTAGGGGCTTATAATGCCTAATTATACAGGCGCCCAGTCTCATTTCGGTACAGTGGCGGATGGCCGGGTGCGGCGGATCTAGTTCGCATTTGCTGGTGTCATGGCCCCTGGTAGAACGAACGACCCATCCCTTCCAGTGGGCAGCCCCTCCCATCCTGTCCGCACATGGGTAGCTCTCTAAATTAGGGTCCCTTTTTAGGTCCCCAAAATAGCACGGCACCCTTATAAACAGGACTTAAAAAGGGACCCTAGTTTAGACAACTACCCACATACTTGAACAGATACTGCGCCGGGCCGACAGTTCGACCCACTAGTTTCAACAGCTTGAACATGGCTGGAACGGCTTGCTCCATTCACCCTAAACCCTAAACCCTAAGCCCTAAACCCTAAACCCTAAACCCTAAACCCTAAACCCTAAACCCTAAACCCCACCCTCCCTCAGACTCCTGACACCAGTGAGCCTCGGAGCCTGCTCCGCAAAGAAAGGAAATGTTAGAATTGTTCCCAGAGACTCCAATATACTCCTTAATTAAGGAATATACCTTAAGTCTTATTAGGGATCCTACTATGACTTAAGGTATATTCCTTAATTAGAGTCTCTGGGTTATAGTCGTAATATGCGGGACACTAAATTGGGTAATAAATTGGGTAATAAGAGACTTATAGCCACTCCGCTGCTCCGCCAGAGTCTGTTTGCTCTGATTCAGATAAGTTCGGGCCAGGGATGCAAGTATTACCTATAGTCTCCATTGTAGTTCCTTTTTGGATACCTTATAAAGTCCTTAATATATATTTGGTTAAACCAAAAAAAGGAACTACAATGGAGACTATAGGTAGAGCAAACTACAATGTACAATTCAGTACTTCAGGTAGCTATACTTAAAATGCCTGATACCCCCAATTAGGGTACCTGCTGCAACCTTTTTCAATCCCTGGTTCTCCAAGTATCGTAACAGAAGTCATCACTCATAGGCCTCATAGTATAGAATCCTATAAGGTAACCCCCAGAAAGGAACTACTATGGGGCCTATGGGCAGATTCAAGGGACCCTGTGACCGACCTGCGTCTTCCGCGGAAAGGAGCTGCAAGAGTGTCAGCTTCGAAGGAGTCCGCGCCTCAGGAGCAGCACCTAAGACCCAAAGGGTTAAGGGGATTTAGGGTTTAGGGGTTTAGGGGATTTAGGGTTTAGGGGTTTAGGGGATTCAGGGTTTGGGGGATTTAGGGTTTAGGGTTTACCTATAGTCTCTATGGTAGTTCTTTTTTTTGGTTTAACCAAAAAACAGAATATATATATATATATATATATAGGATTTTATAAGGTATCCCAAAAGGAACTACAATGGAGACTATAGGTAAGACCCAAAATCCGTTGAGGAGTTTAGGGTTTGGGGTTTAGGAGTTTAGGTTTCAGGGTCATGAGGGTCCTAGTAGTCGTCGTATCGTTGAACCGCAGCAGACTGAGTAGTAATACCATAATACCGAGGGTGTGAACATACATGTCTTTCATATCATGTGTCTTTTGCACGTAGGGACGACAAGCTTAAGGGTCCCTTGACGATGTCCCGCCAGCCGCTGGCAATGAGTGTGCTCATAGTCCGTTGCTGGCGTATGCCCCAAACCCGTTAGCAAGCAGCTCATGGCGAGACGACGCGAGGTCAGCCGTTACCGTGGGCTTGGAACGTTCTGTGTCGTGCTTTTTCCTTGACTTAGTTCTCCAAAACCCAACCTTTAAACTTTTTGGGTTCTTATCATTTAGTAGTAACCTGAAAGTTTAACCTTTAATTTCCCTGGCTTATTGGGGAAGTAAGTTGAACACTGAGGTGACTTGATACACAACTCTGCTGTCACAGCTGCATCCGATGGCTCCCGGTGGTCTTGGGTGCCGGGGGCTCATCTCTGCATCGTCGATAGGGCAGCTTCCCAGCTCGCTTCTAAATCCCAGAAAGGCTCTAAACCCTAAACCGCTAAAGCCTAAGCCCTAAGCCCTACGTACACCCTATACACCCTAAACCCCTAAATCCTAAACCCCTAAACCCCTGAATCCTAAGCCCTATACCGTGAACAGGTTGGAGCTTCTGCATGAGCTTCGAGCTGTCCGGGTCCAGCAGGACCCCAAAGGTTTCGCTGTGCACCGGGAACGCTTGAAACGGTCATTCAAGCTCCCTGTAAACTACCGACCTTCCCCATGTTAGGGTTTAGGGTTTAGGGTTAGGGGCTCGAAAATTGGCACCTAAACATGAGCATCTTGGTTTTGGGGGGGGTATAGGAGAGCCTACAAGGGGGATTCCAGAAAACCCGAATTGTGAGATGGTTATGTGTCCCTAGGGGACCCGAATCGCAGGGTACTTTGCCGGACATGAACCAAGCAGAGGCAGCAAGCTTGCTCCTAAACCCTAGGCCCTAAACCCTAAACCTAAACCCTAAACCCAAATCAAGTCTCAACTCTTGGGGTATCTTGTCGGACAGCTGCTGCTTCGTCCATTGATTGGGGTGCCGGTGGTTGTGGACATACTTAAAGGATCATGGGACTTAGTAAGTAGGGTTATAACTAAGGTAACTCTACTTGTAACCCCAATTCAGGGACTTATAACCTTACTTTCTAAGTCTCATGATCCTTTACCCTAAACCCTAAACCCTAAACCCTAAACCCTAAAACCCTATAGCCTTACTTACTAAGTCTCATGATCCTTTAAGTAGCCTTCCTCACGGCCGCTGCTTGAACGTTCATGCCGTGCGCCTAAAGCTTCTGCAGCCTGTATGAAGGACGTGCTGTCCTTTTCATCTTCAGTGGCAGCCTGCCGGGACGAATGGGAGGCCTGGTTTAGGGTTTCGGGTAGCAACATACGATTAATATAGGGGCCTCAATGATCAAAATAGGGTTTTGGGGGCCCTTTAGACCATAATTAGAATAAGGAACCTCCAAAATAGTATTGTTAATTATTCAGGCTTCTATATTACCAGACTAGATCCATGGTAGCTTTTGTTTGGCTATGTTAATGGGTCCTTACCATAAAGCTTAAAAATTGGTTAACCAAAAAAAGGAACTACAATGGAAGCTATAATATAGGTATACGGTAAACCCTAAAACCTAAACCCCTAAACCCCTAAGCCCTAAACCCTAAACCCTGAACACTATAAACCCTAAATCCCTAAATCCCTAAACCCCAAACCCTCAGGCCACCCTTCAATCCGATGGACTCGGCGTATTGGATACAGATTCGCCGGACGTTCATAACACCTCTGGTCCTAAACCCTAAACCCTACAGGCTCCTACCGGCTCATCCTGGTATAGGAATTTCGCACTCCTGCCAGCAGTGAGAAAAGGAGCACACAAAAAAGCATGAAAGCAAAGACAAAAGTCCTAAACCCTAAAGCCTTTAAACCCCATAACCCCAAAAGACCCTAAAACCCAAATAAAGCCTCAGAGCCCCTTAAGCCCCTAAACCCCAACACCCAAAACCCACGCAGGCTGCGCTGAGTGTGGTGGAGGAGATGGCGAAAGCGGCTGTCTCCAAGGTGAAAGCTGCTTCGGGTCTTAGCGTCTTGGAGGCTTGGGGTTTAGGGTTTGCGGGTTTACGGGTTTAGGGTTTAGGGTTTAGGGTTTAGGGGTTTAGGTTTGGGGTTAAGGGCGTTGATTGAGGTTGCTGGTTGAGGGGTTTAGGGTCTTCGGGGTGTAAGGTTGAGGGCTGTAAGGTTTTCTGGTGTAGGGTTTTTGGGATTAAAGTTTATAGGGTGCGAGGAGTTTGGGCATTAAGGCTTTCAGGTTTTCTGGTTTTGGATCTACTCAGAAATTTGGAACATGGATTCAAGAGGATTAGTGCGGGGATCCCATATACTTTACCTTAAGTCGAGTTTCGGGTTTAGGGCTTAGGGTTTAGGGTTTAGGGGTTCAGGGTTTAGGGTTTTGAGGATAACGATGTTCCAACTTTCTGGCTTCTACTTTAGGGTCATTGTGTTCGGCCCCTTGCCAGTTCTCAGAACCAACAGTGGCAGAGTGCAGTGAGCGCCGTAAACCTCAACATTGGAACGCTTGAAGTCTTCGAAGGCTGTGGCTGTGTATAGACAAGTCACTGCATTGCAGATGAGTCGATGAGCTTTGGCTTCCAGAGTCTGCTCATGGCAGGATGTCATAAGCCTGAGCTACGCTGTCGCAGCATGTGAACGAGGCGCCTTGGATAATGTAGGGGCCTAAAGACACCTATACTCTTTTTAGTGAGTTCCTTATTTAAAGTGTAGTATCATGGGCCCAAAGACCCTATTCTAATTATTAAGGCCCCTATATTAGTGCATTGCCTCCAGCCTGGTGAGTCCGTTTTATCGGCGCACATCAGGCAGAGTGGCATTGGCCGATGTCCTGGAGCTGATCGAGGTGACAGCAAGTTCGGCTCTCTCTGCTGCCGGGGCCCGAGCGAACATCATGGTCCAGCTGCTCCCTAACCCGCCAGGTACCTACTATATAGGGCCCCAGGGGCTAAGGTACCCTAAACCCTAAACCCTAAACCCTATATAGTAGGTACCTGGGGGGTCAGGCTTCTCTTGCAATCTCTAAAGCGTCGATCCGAGCGGCAGTGAGGACCTCGGCGGAAACGAAAGGCATGCAGCGGCGGCTCGGGAAATGTGCCCGAGTGTCAGACTGCACCTGCATTTTCTTTACATGCTAGTAGGGAATGGGGGTTTTAGGGTTTAGGCTTTAGGGTTTTAGGGTTTTGGGTTTTGGGTTTAGAGAATGAATTCAAGGATCATGGGACTTAGTAAGTAGGGTTATAACTAAGGTAACTATACTTATAACCCCAATTAAGGGACTTATAACCTTACTTACTAAGTCCCATGATCATTTAAGCCGTGTGCCTGCCACAGTCTGCCTGGCAGGGACGTACGACAAACTTGACTTTCTTCGTCATGAGCCGACTATGCAACAGCTGGCTTTCCCTTAGCATCAAAATAGCCCAGAAGCCTTACATAATAGGGTCTTTGAAATATGAGTCCTTCGAGGGTAAGGGTTTAGGGATTGAGGGCTTTAGGGTTTTCAGGCTTTAGGTTTAGATTTTTTAGGAACTCAGGCTTTTGGTGTTTTAGAGTTGAGGGGTCTTTTGCTTCTACTCAGCGCTCGTAATGCAGCAGGCATGCAATGTCACCGGGCTCCAGGGATCACGAAAATTCGGCTTTTAGGGCTTTAGGGTTTAGAGTTTGGGGGTTTAGGATTTGGGGTTTTGGGGGTTTATGATTTCGGGTTTTGGGGTTTACAGTCAAACTCTTCGTGTAAGAGGGCTCGGAAGCACCGGAGAGCGCAATGGCTCCGCAGCAGAGCTCTGTGCCGTTGCGTCTGCAGTGCAGACGATGGAGAGGTCTGCTAGGCGCAAGTCGAACTACCTTTAGTCTCCGTTGTCGTTCCTTTTTTTGGTTTAACCAATTATATATTAAGGATTTTTATAAGGTATCCTCAAAAGGAACTACAATGGAGACTACAGGTAGTATAGTGGCCTTAATAATTGCCTATACTATGTTGGGGTTCCTTATTATAATTATAGTATAGTGGGCCCGGATCAAAATCCAACATGTCTGCGCGACCTGCAGGTAGACGATGCGCTTGGTGTCACAGCCAACGCTCGGGCGGCTGAAGGTGCAGTGCTAGACCAAACCCAAAGGGTCCAAGTTATAGTATGTATATACTTTGGGGGCCCAAATACCTACAAAGTAGCTGCCATATTACTCCTTGGGCCCTTTGGGAAATATCGGCGAAATTTTGTGAACGAGAAGCTTTCCCACAGGTTTCCGGTCGATGGCTAGCCACAAGCCTACAGCTCCTGGCGCGTAAGAACGTGGACAAGGAGTGCATCGTGTACAATGCCTGCATAAGGCCTTGCAGGGACCCTTGGGGTTATATAGGGGCTTTATGAGACTATTTAATGGATATAGAGGGTTATACAGGGTATTTGGATTAGGGAAGGCCGAGACGTGCATGCACACCACGCTTGCTGATGTCTCTGACTAGCACCACCCCGATCTTGCCAGTGCTTGCGAGAAAGCCGGCCAATGGCAACACGCCCTGGCGCTGTTCAGCGAGATGGAGGGTACGCGGGCTCGTTTGTATCATATTGCTGCAATATTGCTCCACAGAGTGCAGACGGCATTGTTCGTCAGATCTGACTTCTCGCTATGCCAGGTATGACCATCCAGAAGACATCCATCACCTACAACGCGACTGTAAGTGAAGTGCTTACTTGCTGTGCTTGGTGATCTCATGACTGATACTGCTTCAGCTTGTTGCGGCTGGACGAGGTGCTTGTGAGAAAGGGCATGAATGGGAGCTTGCCTTGACAATAGTGTCTCAAATGGAACACCATGACGTCGGCCCCTTACATCATGATCGGTATGAAGTCATGTCTTGATCGAGTTGCGGAGAAAACTGCAAAGGTGGAGAGATGTTCCATCACGTACAACGCCTGCATGGTGGCTTGCCCGTGCAGGGCTGCACTGCTGATGGACATGCCATAATTAGGAGTTTAAGTTCAGTTCAGTTACGATAGCAAGGAAACCTTATTGCTTACTACAGATCCCTATTATGATAACTGGAAACCTTATTGCTTACTACAGATCCCTATTATGATAACTTGATCTAGTTTAACACGAACGCAGATAAGAAGTGAGGGCCGGTGCTCCAAGGCGGCATGTGATGAAGCTGGCCAGTGGCAGCACGTCCTCCATCTCCTGGAGGACATGAATCGTGGCCAGGTCGCGAGGCTCAGGAAGTTCACTCCTCTATAGGACTTCTTGCTGTGAATTTGCTATAGCATTATAGTGTATAGATAGGTGGGTAAGTAGGTAGGTAGGTAGGTAGGTAGGTAGGTAGGTAGGTAGGTAGGTAGAGACAAAAGAAATGTCCCCCACACTCTCTTCTGCCGCCAATTAAGGCCCCTTTAGTGCACTAGAGCGTTCAATTGGCTACCGGGGTTCTTGTTCGCATGGGGCACATGAATCGTTTCGCTGTACGGATGTGGTTGAAGGGGCATGCGCATCTAAATCGATACTGAGTTACGGCGGGATGCCATCACCTACCACGCCTGCATTATGTCCTGCGAGAAGAGCCGGCAGTGGCAGCGAGCCCTAGGCGCTCTGACATACTTCTTGCCAGCTTCTTCTGTTCCTGAGTTTAGGGTTTCTGGTTTAGGGCTTAAGGGTTCAAGGGTTTAGGGTTTAAGGGTCTAAACCCTAAACCCTAAGCCCTAAACCCTAAACCGTTTAGGGCTTAGGATCTAGGGACCTTACTGCAGCTTGCAGGCTGGTTTGAGGAGATGCACCAGAAGAGGCTTGAGCACAACTCGAACACCTTCAATGCCTTCAACTCAGCTCTTCTTCATGTGGGACTTTCCAAAAAATAGGGGGTACCTTATTTTGGGGTCCTTATAATAAGGATCCTATTATTTAGGGTACTATATTAACCCTAAACCCTAAACCCTAAACCCCTATTTTCGGAAACCCCCATGTCTCCTCCATGCAGCTCGAAGGGGAGCTGTGAGCATGAAATCTACTTAAAGGATCATGGGACTTAGTAAGTAAGGTTATAGGGTTTTAGGGTTTAGGGTTTAGGGTTTAGGGTTTAGGGTTTAGGGTAAAGGATCATGGGACTTAGTAAGTTAGGCTATAAGTCCGTTAATTGGGGTTATAAGTATAGTTACCTTAGTTATAACCTTACTTACTAAGGCCCATGATCCTCTAAGTAAACCCCAGCCCCATGGAGGGATGCTTGCAGACGGAAAAAAGCGTTAAAAGCTGCTCAAAGAAGCCCTGAACTGGAACAAAGGCTGTGGTCAGCTCCTGCGAGCAGAGTGGGCAATGGCCAGCCGCCAACCAGAAGCTGGCGACTCAGTCCAGTGATGCGATTCTCTTTCTCTAACCCCCCCAGGGTTTAGGGTTTAGGGTTTAGGGTTTAGGGCAAAACCCCCCTAAAACCCTGAACCACCCGACTCCCCCACCCCTAAACCCTAAATACACCCCTGAAGCCTAAACCCCCTACACCCTGCTCCGTCTCTTTGTAGCTAGACCCCCCCGCCTGCCCTCTCAATTATACACGAAATACCCACTATCAAGGGCCACAAGGGCTCTATTAAGGGGCACTTGGGGGGTGCTTGTAGAAGAAGGCAGAACCCCTAAACCCTAAACCCTGCTCCGTCTTCTTGTTGCAACCCCTGAACCCTAAACCACTAAACCTCTGAACCCTAAACCCCTAAACCCCAACCCCCTAAAGCCTAAACTTAACATACCATTGTACCGGACAAGGCTCTAGCAGTGATAGGTATTTCCCAATGAGTGAGAAGAAGGGGTGCCCCACCAAAAGCCTAAACCCTAAACCTTAACCCCCCCTAAACCCCGTAAGCCAAAAACCCCTAAACCTTGCTACGTCTTTTTGCAGACGAAAGCATAGCCTGAGTCTCTAAAACCCTCAGCCCTAACCCCAAACCCTTAAACCCTAAACCCTAAAACCCTAAACCCCTAAACCCTAGAACCCTTAAACCCTAAATCCCCAAACCCCCCTAAAGCCCTAAACCCTAAATTCGCTTTGCAGGTTCGGCCCAGAGTTCTTCTCGTGGGGTCCTCATCTTATCGAGTGCCAGGCCTTTGGGTTTAGGACTTTAGGGGCTTAGGTTTAGGGTTTAGGGTTTAGAGGACTTTAGGGGCTTAGGGGCTTTG